TGCCATCACCAGAGGGATTTTTAATGTTTTACATATCAAGGCGGATGAATAGCCTCAAATGAAAGGTCGACTCTGCTGTGGAAATGTTATTTTCCTCGTGTGCGTGCAAAAGGACAAAGTGAAAAGACACTTTTATGTATTGTATACTTTAAGAATTTTGTAAATTAAAAAATTTTATTTGTCCTTGCAATTTTTATTAAATATGAATTACAACTTTTTACAACAGTGCTCATTAACAATATTGATGAGCCTGTGATGTGAAAATAACATTTAAGTTCAATATAGTATTGTATGTAATAAATTGCATTTTTTGGTTTCTTCTCTGCATTACTAATGTTATCATCAAAGATTGCAATCATAGCTTAAATATGCTACTTTTCACATCTGTTTAGTGTTTTTTGGTATATATCTTAGGTGATGCAATTTTTGTGGCTGCTACTGTATTTTATTTGTTTATTGAGGTTAAATTCTTAAACTAATAGTAATTTATTTTTAAAGAGTTTTTTCTATTGTCAATGAAACATTCATTCTTTTTTTTTATCTAGAAAAAAGAAAAATAAAAATGTAATTACAATGAAATATTTAATGGTTTAACATTAAATATTTCATTGTAATTACATTTTTGTTTTTCTATGTGCAATAAGTTAGAACTTCTATATATTGATTTCACCTTTATCTCTTTTTCTAGCAAATTTTAAAATTAAATTAAACTAATGTTTATGGCTATTAAATGGCCTTCTTCAGGTTAAGTGTTCAAATTATGCTTAACCTGAAAAAGGCCATTTAAGACAGCCAAAAACATTAATTTAATTTAATTAAAAAATTTGCTAGAAAAAGAGAGAGAGGTGTTTTGAAATTAATAATTAAATAGAAAAATTTATAAAATATAACATAATTATCACATTTTTTATTTTAATTATAGCATTAATAATAGTAGTAGTAGCTGGAATATGTAAACAGAATTTCTTGGTGAATTGCTTTTTGTCTTTATGTTACATTATGAAACTATGAGCACTAAGTTTTGGCTCTATGGAGGACTTATCACATACTGTTGACATTGGAGTAATCACACAGAAATAGGTAGACACAGGTTTACTATGACGATGGTATGCATTTTGGACAGGCTATCTGTCCCTCTTCAGCCATATTTGTTATAATTTGGTAGGTATACAGACATCTATAAAAATAAAAGCAGTTTTTTGTTACAAATGTTTTGATTAAAATAGTACAAAATTACATTTTTATACATATACTAGTTGTTACCTGTGACTTCGCACGCACAGATTTTGCAAGCAAACCCCAATTATATTCAGTATTTCAACAACCATAGTAATTGTTATATAACACCTACCGCTGAGAATGATGAGAATTGCCGAGAATCAAACAAACTGTTTTCAATTTGTTTTCTTGAATGTTTACAATCGTTCTATAATCGAACCAATATGCAATGACAAATTTGAATTTAAAACAGTTCGAACATTTGGTTAAAAAATCGAAATATATAAAAATACTTATAACAGTGTCTGAAATGTTATCAATTTAATACACCTAAAGTACTCAATGAAGACTAAACGTAGTTTAAAACAAAAAATCGCATCTAAAATAGTACAGTAGAAGCCATTCTTCAGGTTAAGCCTTAATCCTCTCCCTCTTCCTCATGGGGAAATTTAGAAAAATCCCTTCTTAGTGTGCGTTTTCATGACGTACCCTAACTGTGTACAAAATTTCACCTCTAGGTTCAGCGGTTTGCTCTGGGTGGTGATGAATCAATTAGTCAGTCAGTCAGGACTAAATTTTATATATTTAGGTAAAAGGAACATTCTATTTTGTTGTTGATGCATGGATGATTTCATTTTCAGGATTTTTCGTAGTCGTTATATTATGTTTTCCGTACAAATAGCAACCAGAGATTAAAATTATGAGTTGTTTGGGGCTCCATCACATGTGATGACGTTTATAAATCTGAATGATCAGTAAGACCTTCCAGAATCAGGATCCCTGATTTCACTTAGTCAATTCCATGGACTAAGACGTGAGCGAAATTATAAATCTGTTTCCAGAATTCATAGAAGGGTCTATTTTTAACATGAGTAAGACAATGAAGTTAGGCAAGGAAAGTGAACAAGTTAATGATTAAGATATATTTATTAAGAACAATTAAATATGTTTATACAGTATATACAATTATATAAAAAGATTAAATTCAAATTAATATAAAATGTATCAAAAGAACAAAACTTCTGATTATAATTCTTACTCTAAAAAGGAAACTCAAACTAATACCTCACTAACTAAATAGTTATTTTCCAAGAGAGAGTTTACATAATTATATTACCTAGATGATATGCAGTCTTCCATGTGAGAGATGAGCTGATGTCTTGAGGAAAGTACATGAAACTATGTAACTGGATACCATAAGTCTGAATTTGCCTCGTAAAATGTGTTTCAGAAATTGATTGATTTCAATGGTGCTGTTGTGAATGAGTAGGCAATCGTCTATGTAATGATAAAAATCTAAAATTCCTGGGTTGTTTACAATATTTTTGTCTATTTTTTCATGGTGATTTCAGCTAAGTTTGGTCCTATACAACTATCCATGGGGATCCCTTCGGTTTGTTTATAGCAGCGGTCCCCAATTTTTTTATTGCCACGGACCGGTCAACATTTGATATTTTACCGCGGCCCACTGAAGGGGGACGTTGATTGTTTATATTTTAGATTGATTTAATTTAATATTTTTAATTTAATTGTATTTAAACATGCCTTCAAAATAAAATATAGTTACACCAAAAAATTAATATAATGTGATTTAACATTTTAACTCACTAGAACGTTAAATCAATGATAAATCCCTGAGCTTGTTTCTTTGCAACAAAACGGTTCCATCTGGGGGTAATAGGAGACAATGACACCTGAAGTGTGTTTCTTATGTCCAGTTTATTCCGTTGTTCCGTCATCCATTAAAAGTTGCACAAACCTGAGAGAAATACACCATAGTAAATAAAATGGAAATACCAGTAATTTAATATTTCTTGGGCGGCCCGGTACCATTTGATCCATGGACCGGTACCGGTCCGCTGCCCGGGGGTTGGGGACCACTGATTTATAGTAAATACCTTGTAATTTGAAAAAAATCATTAGATAAGATAAACATTAGATTGCAGTCATTAGATTGGAGTGATTTTAATACTTTGGTGTGTGTGATTGAGGGGTACATGCTAATTATGTTTAGGAAAGTTAGTCTAATATTGCTAAGAATGTTTATATGTTGTGGTTTGTTCATGAGGGCATCAGTACTGATGATGCTATACTGGGAGTTATTTATAGCTTTTGATAAATAATGGTGTATGTCTATTAATGGTCTGTATTTTATTGCGGTTTTGTGGGTTTTTAACTAAAACTGAATTTTGATGTTCTATTTAAATTTAGCTTCATCAATAGTAATTTATTTTTCTGCTTTTAAATTGTTTATGTTTTTTAATGTCACAGTGTATTTTAAGGATAGGATTTACTGGAATTTTTTGTAGTTACTCTTGCTGAGGATTTTAGAAGATATTTCACTGTGTTATGCTTTGTCAATGATAATAATTTGGTTTGTTTTATCAGCTTAGTTTATTTTTAATTAAGTTATTGCTGTCAAGAAATTCTCTAATAGCCTTCATATTATTATTAAATTTGTATATTTTCTTTCTTTGGGATTTATTTAATGAATGAATTGTTAATGAATTTTGTAATTCTGTTCTAATGTTCAGGGTCAAGATGCTGTTCATGTTGTGTAAAATACCATCTATGGTGATTATTAATTTTTTGGGGGTACTTTGGGGCAGTTGTATGTAAGGCACAATGCTAGAACTTCCTGCATGTTTTTTGGTAGTTTTCTATTAGAAAGGTTTATTATTAGATTGTTTAACCAATTTTTATTCTCTTTTAATGTGGGGTAGCCTAATTTTCTTACTAACTTATATTTATTCTGATGATAATTTGAATCTTTTTGGATTGGGCACTTATTAACACCTAATTTTCTTCTTTTAATTATTAATTTCCTATTATTAAAAACCGACAAAAAATACTACCAAACGCAAACTATACAAACATTTAGAAATTATCAAAATCCATGATAACATAAGAATAAACAAAAACATGGGTACAAGTAGCTCCCATCTGGCACCCTTACTTAAAACATCTGAAACCTATCAGCAAGCAGGTAATACTTATATCACCAACACTGGATACCACCCTATAGTAGCATTGCTTCTGTAGTAGAGAACATTGTTTGTATAAGCTGACTGTCTGCAAAAACATATGTAACCTTTCTTAAAACAGCTCTTACTTTTGTGAATACAATCTTGTTTATAACTTTGTATTATGTTCATCATCCATGCATAAGCAACAAAATGGAATGTTCCTTTTATGTATGTATAAAAATGTAATTTTGTACTATTTTAATCATAAACCAAAATGTTTGTAACAAAAAATTGCTTGTATTTTTATAGATGCCTGTATACCCACAAAATGTAACAAATATGGCTGAAGAGGGACAGAAACCTGTTCGAAATGCATACCATCGTCATAATAAACCTGTGTCTACCTACTTCTGTGTGATTACTCCAATGTCAATAGTATGTGATAAGTCCTCCATAGAGCCAAAACTTAGTGCTCATACTTTGATAGAATAATTTTTGTTTGGGCTTCACAAATGCTGCTAGAAATCTTTCTCCGTAATTATGTTAAGCTGTGTTAATTTTTCAAATTGTAAAATGTTTTTTTAAGATAAGCCGTAATACTTGAAAGCACCTGTTTGAAGATTAGGTTAATTTGACTTCAATAAAGTCTTTTTTTTTTTTTTTTATAAATTTAATTAAAAAAATTATATTTTTGAAAAATAAAATAAAACTTTTTTTATTTTTAAAATTTTTTTATGTATAGATGATTTGTTGATGATAATCTTTTAGAATAAGTTATTAATAATTTTATTTAAAATGTAACTTTATATTTATTAGGATATTACTGTCTATATAAGAAAAGAACAAGTACCAATAAATGGGATGGATGTGCCATTTTCTTCAAAACAAACATGTTTAGTTTAGTTGATTATCATTTAGTTGAATTTTATCGACCTGGAATACCTCTTCTGGATAGAGACAATGTAGCTATAATTGCATTATTAAAACCTAACTGTGTTCCAACTACCAGTGATTTGAAACTTTGTATAGCTACCACACATCTTTTATTCAATCCAAGAAGAGGAGATGTTAAATTAGCACAGATTAGATTATTATTAGCTGAATTAGATAAGATAGCTTTTAAAAGAGTATCATCAAATAAACAACCTATTTATTATCCTATAGTAATGTGTGGGGATATGAATAGTGAGCCATTTTCTCCTTTATATAATTTTATCAGTAGAGGAAAATTAGATTGCAGAGGTTTAATGAGTGGTGATATATCTGGACAAAAAGAAGGAGCAAGAAAAGGACAGAAATTAGATTTTGATCAGTTATTGCATCCAGAACTAGACATAAATCAAAATACTCAGTATGAAGAAATTTTTGAAATTAGATATAAAAAAGATAATGTAGAACCAGTACATAATTTAGATGAGGATAATGCATGTTCAATTAAAGTAATTTAATATTTCTTGGGCGGCCCGGTACCATTTGATCCATGGACCGGTACCGGTCCGCTGCCCGGGGGTTGGGGACCACTGGTTTATAGTANAGCAAGAAAAGGACAGAAATTAGATTTTGATCAGTTATTGCATCCAGAACTAGACATAAATCAAAATACTCAGTATGAAGAAATTTTTGAAATTAGATATAAAAAAGATAATGTAGAACCAGTACATAATTTAGATGAGGATAATGCATGTTCAATTAAAACTGATGATGCTGGATTAAATGAAGAAAATAAACTTAATCTTTTAGGAACAAATTGTAATTTAATGAATAATTCTAATGAAGAAAAAGATGAAAAAAATATACAGAATCAAATATCTAATAATAGTATTGTTGAAGATAATTCTATCATTAGAGAAATTAATACAAAAGCTAATATTACAGTTTCATCTGACTTAATGTCAAATTTAAAAGCATCTTTAAGTTATCCATTTGAGTTACCATTTCCAAAATATATTCAACATCATATTAAATTTTTATCAACTTATAAACATTTCTGTGCAAAAGGATGTCGTGAAATTACAACACAACACACACGAGCAAACTGTACAGTAGATTATATATTTTATTCAGTTAAAGATAAATATTCATTTATAAAAAATAATAAGTTGGAACACAAATATGTAACAGAAGGGGCTCTTCGACTTCTTGCTTGTTACCGTTTGTTAAACGACACAGAAGTGAAAGAAGTAGGTGGATTACCAAATGCTTGTCAACCATCAGATCATTTGTCCTTAGTAAATAAATTTTTACTAAAAACTGATTATGACATTTAACTTGTTTTAAGAAAATGTATCAAGATTAATAAATTTTGACAAAAAAGTTATTGTTAAATTATTTTTTGAAAAATAAATATGAAAACTTGATAATTTTAATGAAAATTGTAATCTATATTTAAATTGAAACTTTGATTTATTAAAATAAAATTATAAATCCTCTATTTTTTATAATATGAAGAGAATTTATTTAAGTAAAATAATCATTGTTTTTTACTGAAAAAGTATTTTCTCTAATTATAATGGATTAGTTTACAAATGATTTCTAACTTTAGTATTTATTATCCAAAAATCAAATATAAATCAGTTTGGTTTTTTATCAGTATGATTCTAAGTTATGAATCGTACTTCAAAAGATAGAATTCTATCTTTTGCAGTATGATTCTCAACTAAAATCTTACCTTGAAGCAAACAATGAAATTGAGTTGACGAATGAATCTCAAACACTGTAGCAGAGATAACAGACTTATCATGCTGCAACTGAGGACATCAAAATGACACTTCTCTCATCAGAATGCAATTTTATTACTGGTATGCATTTAAGTCCAAAAGACCATCATCAGCCATATATGAATATATAGTTTTCTACAATAATTGTAAAAATTTTTATATTATACACAGGTAAAGTAACATAAAAGGTTTCAAAAATTTGAAATGGAATTTTAAACTGATCTGTTATAGATGTACAGCAATCATCAATTAGAATTATTATTATTTACAAACCTAAAATAGTTTTAAAGTCAGTTTTAAAACTCATTTTAGTTACAAAATAAAATCAAATGGTATCAATTTACAAACTGACCTGTTTTAGATCTACACCAAAATGCACATTAATTTAGAATCTGTTATATTGGGTTGCTCGGAAAGTAATTTCGTTTTTTTACCACCAGAGGAATTAGTTGTATTTTTACCCATCAATTTCATTTTAAACCATATTGTCATTATGTATTTTGACAGCTGACATTTCAAGGTTTATTTGTAAAAAATTTTGTTTGATTCTGTGGAATTGTTGGGGGATTGTGTGTGTGTCCGTCCCATCAAATATGGGAAATTGAAAATTTTGATTTTCGGAATATTTCGCTTTTTTATTACCCAAAAAAATAACAATGCTGTTCAAGCAAGAAAAAAATTGTGTGACATGTATGGAGAAGATGTGTTGACAAAACAACAGTGCCAAAACTGGTTCACAAAATTTTGTTCTGGTAATTTCGATATCGAAGATGCACCACATTCTGGAAGGCCAGTTGAAGCTGATGAAGACAAAATAAAGATATTGATTGAGAAGCAAACTGGCGAATAATGACATGAGAAATCACTAAGAGATTAAATTTGTTGAATTGAACCATTTATGATCACTAGAAACAACTTGGTTTCATTTCAAAGCTCAATATATGGGTTCCACATGTTCTTAAAGAAAGAGATGCTCTCCTTGGTGGGATTTTAAGGGATTTTGTTTCTTTTTGAGCTTCTACCAGACAATTCCACAATTGATTCGAAAATGTACTGTCATCAAATGGACAAATTGAGTGATACCATCAAACAGAAAAGGTGTAATGTTTCATCATGATAATGCCAGATCTCACAAAAGTTTGGTAGCTCATCAGAAGCTGTTACAGTTTGGATGGGATGTGATACCATATCCACCATATTTGCCAGATCTGGCACCCTCAGATTATTACTTGTTATGGTCTTTACAAAATTTTTTAAACTTTTTGAATTTTAATTTTTTTGAATTTTTAAAAATTTTTGAATGGAATTTGCTAATGGTTTTTGTAAGGATAAAATTCTCAAACTCACCTTCTCTCTCAGGCATTACCACAGTTACCGATATCCGGATTTCGCGCAGTTTCTCCTTGGATTTAACTAGTATAGTGAAGTTTGTTATATCGATCGATTCGGGATTTCGCAAGGACCAAGATGATACCAAAATTGTAAAGGTGAGCTAAGGATTTCGAAGGTTACGGACGTTTGAAGTTTGGGATTTTCGGAACCGAATATCCGGACGGTAGAGATCGTTTTACCGGAAATTCTCACTGGACCTTGTAGACATTTTAACTGTGAGTAATTCTGAAATTTTGGGGTTCCTAGGATCAGTAGTTTTTGTTATTTCGCCATTTTTATCTTTTTTATCATCAGGTTTCGGCGGGCCCCAGGTTTTCCATCCGTCAATGTAATTGCCATCATTCGGAAGTGGACTGCTTCAGTAACTTTTCATGAAAAATTGGGAATTGTAATCATAGTGCTTTTTAAACTATAGCAAGTTAAAAATTCAGTGAATTTTGCAGCATTCCTCCATTTAACGGACTTACGTTACCATAGCAAACGCCGCGGACCGTTAACTGTTTAGGCGTTGCTAACGGTCATTTCAATGGGTTTAGTGGCTTCAGGAATTAGTTTTACTTTACATGTTTGTTCACAAATTTTAATGGATAACACTTTGGGTTGTTAGACCTATGGAGGAGTCATTCTTGAGTAGTTCTTTGCCCCCAGCAACGGATCCTTCTATTGAAAGACGCAACCCTGGTAGATAGAGTGATGGAGCTTTGTCCCCATCTCTTAGATCGGGGCCCAACACTCAACAAAGGGCCAAGATAAGAGACAGCGTTATGAAGCTACACGGGTGTTTCCACCAAATAGTCGGTATACTTAAAGAGATCAGAGGGAAGACTCAGACCAATAGCACTGGCATGCAAAAGACCTTTGCTGATATTGTTAAAACAAATGTCAACCAAAGTGTGACCACCAAAACAATTACCAAGACCATTACTGGGAAAATAAACAGGGAGGGTCCAGGGGGAGTGGCTCTTCTCCTCTACCCCAAACCAGGCGAAGAGGGTATAGTTCACACATCGGAAGAGATAACAAGTACACTGAGAGCCAAGATAGAACCACAAAAACTGGGTGTTTACATCAAGTCTATTCACAACATAAGAGGAAATGGAGTATGTGTTAGAATGGGTTCGGAAAATGATGGGGCCAAGCTACAGCAAGCGGTTCAGGAAGTTCCCGAACTCTGCAAAAAATTAAATACCAAACTCTCACAGAGACGACAACCCAAATTAATCTTGCTCAACGTGCCGGAATATATTGGGGACAAGGACATCCTACCTACCCTTTACGGTCAGAATAAAATATGGGGAAACATGACTCAAACAAAATTTATGGAACAATGCAAAATAACAACTTTCCTACAAAAGGGAAACGTCAAAGATAAGTGTAGACATATAATACTAACGGTTACACCAGACTTAAGGAAAATCATGATTTCTCAAAAATATGTTGCCTTATCATGGAGCAATATTAGGGTGGATGATTATGTCTTCATTTTAAGATGTTATAGGTGCTGCGGCTTCGGCTACTACGCTAGGGAGTGTGACCAACTTGTTACCTGTAGCCACTGTGGGGGGGAGAATAGATATCTTAACTGTCCGCACAAGGGAGAAGCACCCAAATGCATAAACTGCAGTGAAGCCTACGAAACATCAGATAGAAATAAAAGAGAAAACACGGTACACAACGCATTTGATCAGAAATGACCCATCCTGCAAAAAATAATAATAATAAAATAACACTGTGGTATGTTTTATTAATGTCAAAAGTAGTTCCACTTAAATGGTTGCAGAAATGAATCTAGAAAATCGGAAACAAGATAGGAATCCAATAACAAGCTTTACTAAATTAAATATATTTTGGATAACCTGGGTGGAGAGATGGTTAAGCAGTAGACACCAGCTTTTTCCATGTTCCATTTTGTGTTGAAGAGAAATTTTAATGGTTGGGCCAAAATCTCGTTTTCTCACTGCTTGGGTATCCCAGTGGGTCTGAGCAAATTATTACGAGTATGAAAAAAAATCCTCATAGTGCCTCAATGCGGAGAGTTAAAAGAGTGCAGTTTTATTTTTATATGTGTAGGGCTCTTGCAATACAGCAATGTCGATGTTGAGGATGGTAACATCCCTAGAGAGTTGTGAGGCTGCCGCTTTGCTTTTTTGCAAGTTGGCTTGTAAAATATGAAGGTTGTGGGGGGGAGGAGTGCAGTGGGTGGTTGCATTCACAGTGTTATTTGCCGGACTAGAAGGAGTGATAGTGTTACTGTCCATAGTTTGTTTGCATGATAGCCGTTGCTTTCATTTTTTGCAGGATGGGTCATTTCTGATCAAATGCGTTGTGTACCATGTTTTCTCTTTTATTTCTATCTGATGTTTTGTAGGCTTCACTGCAGTTTATGCATTTGGGTGCTTCTCCCTTGTGCGGACAGTTAAGATATCTATTCTCCCCCCCCACAGTGACTACAGGTAACAAGTTGGTCACACTCCCTAGCGTAGTGGCCAAAGCCGCAGCACCTATAACATCTTAATCATCCACCCTAATATTGCTCCATGATAAGGCAACATATTTTTGAGAAATCATGATTTTCCTTAAGTCTGGTGTAACCGTTAGTATTATTTGTAGCTATGTTCTTGTTTTCATCTGTGCAAAGTACCACATCTGGGGGCCGGGTGCATCAGGTAGTAGTTGCTGAATCTATCAGATCCATGGTTGTGGATTTTGACTGCAATGTCTTTCACTTGGGTAGGGGTGGTCTCAGATATGGCCAGCTGATCAGAGAAATGCCTAAGTTGGAAGTCCCAATACCTTTCCGAGGCTTTAAGGTCGAGGGGGACAGAATTTGCAATCACCTACAGCCCACTAGTCGGGGCCGTGCAATAGGCCCTGCACACTGTGATGAGACAGCTTCGTTGAATGGCGATTAATTTCTTGCTAATTTGTTGTTTTCTTGTTGCATACCCCCAAATCTCAGCCCCATACAGGACTGCTGGTTCTATTGCACAGTGGTAAATGAGTGAAGAGCTTTGGTAACTCAGACCCCAAAGGTTCCTGCTAATGGATCTCAGTGCATGAGCCATAATGATGGCTTTTTGTTTTATGTATTCTATGTGCAACGTCCAATTCATTAGACAATCTACTTGAAGCCCTAAGTAACTTATTTTATCGGTGCACTTAATCTTTTCATCCTGTATTGTAATCCTCGGCT